CAATCAGAGTTTTAGATACACGTCTCCCACCATCTCCTACCCGTCAGGTGCTCACTTTGTATCCACTACGTTATCTGGCGCACTGGCACTATTTTCCAGGTGATGAATAAATGAATGAATGCATGAGAAAAGGGGAAATGTCTTGTAATGAGGTCTTAGCGCAGCAATTATAATTTTGACAGAATGTAGGTTTTCATACATGGGTCAGGAACTGTTCCTGCCAGTCCTGTGCTCTGTCATTGTTTTTAAGAAGCCACAGCACCCCTGGAGCAAGAAGCTGATGAGGTGCCTCCTGCAAGCACTGGGCTTCTGGTCAAAGAAGCCCCTCTCCTCTCTCTCTCTCTCTCTCTCTCTCTCTCTCTCTCTCTCTCCCTAGCTCACTGTCTTGCTGGCTCCCTGAGGCTCCTTTTCATTGTCTGTGCATCCCATCTGGGTCTCTTTGTGTATGTTGAACCTAGACAATGCAAAGCAGGTGGAGTCTGAGGACCTACAATAGTAATTTTATTTTATCATCACTGTTGAGCGGTATAAAACAAACACTGGCACAGCCGGCTACTGTGCTATAAGTTATTCAAGTATGCAGATCATTATCCTGGGACTCAAAAAAGCAGGATGAAGTTATCTGTTAGGTCATGGATTCAGAAGCTTCCAGAAGCCTTGCTTCTGTCTCTGATCTCTGTTGTTGGCTGCCCCTTGAAGCCGTGGTGCTGAAGATAATATATTAATGGTGTATGAGTCCATTTGATGACACTCTAGCAAAGTACTGGAAGCAAGGTAAGTTTATAAAGAAAAGAAGGGTAATTTTTGTTGTTGTTTTTGTTTGGTTTGTTTTGAGACAGGGTTTCACTATGAAGCTTTTAGCAAATTGTGAATTTGTATCTTCTTGCCTCAACTGCCAGAGTGCTAGGATTTCAGGCATGTGGTACTATGCTTGGCTTAGAAAAGAGGTCTATTTTGGTCACACTTTTGGAAGCTGGAAGATGGAATGATTCCCCTGTTTCAGCCCTTGGTGAAGGCCCAGTGCTGTGTGACATCACAGGGAAGCACAGGTAGGCTGAGACATCTCAGCTCCAGACAAGAAATCAGACCAGGTGGAGAGGCCAGGCTTGCTTCTTGCATAAAAGGGGTCCTATGAGAGCTCCTTAACCCCTTCCGCAGGCAATGTCCCAGTTACCTCCTACTGGGCTCTACCTCTTAAAGACCCACCATCTCTACAACAACACACTAAAGAACAAACTCCAACACATGAGCCTTTGGGGGACAAACCACAACCCAACCGTAGCAAGTGGTTTTTGGCTTGAGGGTTTAGCCTCTACCCACAGTTTCCATTGTCCACAAATATATGCACCAGGAGGCTCTCACTTGTAATCCCAGCACCTGGGAGGTGGAGGCAGGAGGATCAGGAGGTCAAGGTCATCCTCAACTTCATAATGAGTTCAAGATCAGCCTGGATTATGTGAAACTCTGTGCCAAATAAACAAACAAGCAAGCAAGCAAAAAAAAAAAAATCCACAAATGCACATACAATATATAGCTAAAAATAGTATTATTATATTAAAATGATATGAAATAAAAAATAATAGCTAAAAATAGTGTTTTCTTATAAAAATGCAACTTTGAGATAAATCCCTTGATACCACAGTCTTCACAGTTTAGGGGAATTGAATCCATCTACTTGCATCTGTTTTGTTAATCACCTTTACTCAAGTATTTTTTTAAAATGCTTTGTTTATTAGTTTTATTTTACATGTATGAGTGTACTGCCTGCATGTATGTGAATGCGCCTGTGTAATGCAGTACCCTCAGAGGTCAGAAGAGGGCTTCGGATCCCCCAGAACTGGAGTTAAGGATGGTTCGTAGCTGCCATGTGGGTGCTGGGAATCGAACCTGGGTCCTCTGCAAGAGCAGCCAGTGCTCTTAACCACTGAGTCATCTCTGCAGTCCCTTTACTCAAATTTTTAGAGATAGAAAAGAACAAGATGGACGGGTTCCCAGTTTCCTCATGCATTCATGTATTAATTCCTGGGCACATGTTGACAGTTATCTAACTCATAACACAGCTGAGGGCACCCAGGAACTCTATCTTAAGGAGTTTCAGAGATGAGCTTAAAAAAAAAAACAACTGGTATGGGTAAAAAGTTAGGTGGCAATGCAGAGGTTAACTGGTACCATGTTGGTAGCAACAATCTATCACAGGTGGCTGTGATGTGTCAAAGACACAGGATGATATCTGGAACAAAGTCTGTGGCAGGAGGGTTCCTAGGGACAGATGGACAGCCAGGAAGCAGGGAGGGTGGACAGAGGGCATTCTAGGTAGAGGACAGCATGGGTGTAGCCGGCTGAACTACATGTACAGCCCAGGACTCTGAGATGAGTGGGCCCAGGACAGGCAGTAAATGTGAAGCTGAGCATCAGGCTGCTCACAGACTCCAGAGGAAAGCACTTGGAAACCCTGAATATGCTGTGCAAACTTCAAACCAATGTGCGGGGGTCTCTCCCTCTCTTCACGGGTCGTTGGCCATCGGTCCACGAGGGCAGGGGGAGCAGAAGCGGTGAACGGAGTCAGGACGGCCAGTGAGCACTGACTAAAGAAAGCCCTTCTGGGGAGGCTGGTCCCACGGCGCAGTGAAACAGCAGTGATACAGCTCCAGACTCAGTGAAACAGCTCCAGATTCAGTGAAACAGCTCCGTTTATTCCGTGGGAGA